ATGACCCTTCACTGCCTTTGTTTAGTCATTTGTCAGTGTTTGATGGACCACTTTTTTCGCAAATTTTTAATTTGTTTAGCCTTATTTTTCAGCCTCTGTTTTTGTGCCTTTCTTATATATGTACTTGTCTTGATCTAGTTTCCCTTTGTTGCATGTTTTTTATCTTCGCTACTTTTTCATTCCTCCCTGAGTTGGTCCTCATAATGTTGAACTTTTTTTGTTCTTTGTTGAGAAGTGCTCAGTGAGCACGACTTATGCTTTGGAGTAAGCGTCAGAATTCTTTTGACCTGTGTTACATTTTGACACACCTGTGACCTCCGTTCCCTGCTCTATATATATTCGCTAAATATGTTCTTGCTTAGTCTGTCTGTTCGGTCCGAGGGATTGGAGCACACGGAGGGAGACGGAAAAGATGTATACTTCACTACAGTGGCATTTCCGACTAATCCTTTCCATTTTTAAGGACAACATGGCTCTGAAATGCGCTTTTAACCAGCCAACTTCAAAGTCTGACTCTACCTTCGCTGCTAGCGATACCTTAGAATCGCCATGCTGCCTCCCGCTACCATACCTAAACTCGCAGTCGGTGAAGAGGAGTAGGGACCCAGTTTACTTTTAAACAGTGGGTGAAGACGACAAGGAAAACGCGAGGATAGTCCAACTTCCAGCAGTGCCGGTCTTGCGTGAATCACATCCAAAGAGGGTCGCGGGATGGATAAACGTCCAGCTTAGACACGAAGTCTAACCACTCATTATTGCAGGGAAGCGCCGTGGTGGGAGTACCACTCCCTTAGTCAGCTGGTTAAGCTCGCAATCGAGAAGTGTCAGGAGATGCTTACTGTCCCGCGCTACATTGTCCGCAATGGTCATCCAAACCCGGCATGATTATATCGTGGTCCTCTGCGCAATACCCCAAAATCAGGTAAGGCGTCCCTTTTCATATCCTATTTGCTCTCAAGTAGCTCTCACTCATTTTTGCAAGCCCCAGGCAAGGTAGAAGGGTATTCGTGTCGTTTCCTTTTTGACTGTGGTGCAGTTAGATCAATAATAAGTCCCCAGGCTCTCCGCACCCTTTGTCACAGGATTAGGATCGCTCTACTGTCTATCGACCTACTTCTGTCCCACGTCACACGATTCCCCATCAGGAAATCCATGTAAAGATCAATATCTTTCCACACGCCACGTGATTCATCATCAAAGGACCCATATATCGATCAATGCCCATCCTCAGGTCACGTAATTCGATATAAGGGGATCCATATATTGATCTAGGTTCTTTCCCAGGGACACGGGACATATCATCAGGGGCTCTATATATCGATCAATTTCTATCTCATGGCATGTGATTCATCAGCAGAGGACACATGCCAATCTACGCCTGTCTCTGTGGTCACGTGCCACACCTTCAAGGGAGCCATATATCGGTCTATTTTATCCCCAGTCACGTGACTCATCATCAGGAATGCACGCCTGGATTAGTGTCCGTTCTCAGATCACATGACATCACTGGGGCGTCCATATACCGATCTATGCCCAGCCCCAGAGACATGCAACACATCGTCAGCGGATCCATTTGTTGACTTTTTCTACCCCGTATCACGTGACACATCAGAAGAGAATCCATGCACCGATCTATGTCTACTTCCAGGGTATGTGACACATTGTCAGAGGATCCATATATCATGTGTCTATCTATTTCTATCCCACGTCACGTGATTCCTAACTGGGGGATCCATAGGTCGGTCAATATCTACGCCAGGAACACGCGCCACTTCATTATAGCATTCATGCACCGATCTGTTCCCATACCATGTCAAAGGATTCATCACTAGGGCATCCATAGCTTAATCAGAGTGTATCCTCATATCATGCACCGCACCACCAGGGCATCCTTATATCAATCTTTTCGCGCCAAGTATCACGTGGTGCATCATAAGAGGGTTTTGTATCGATTAATGACTACCGTCAGGCCAAATATATCATCGCTTGGGGATCTACATGTGGATCTATTTCGGTCAACAGGTTCACGTGCCACAGCATGACGGGGGCCATATATCGGTCTGTCCCTATCCCCAGGTCGCGTGATCCGTCACCAGGGAGTCCATATATCGATCAACGTCAATCCTCAGGTCACGTGACTCATTGTCGGAGGGTGCGCATATATCGACCAATGTCTATTCCCAGGGAATCCATTTGTCGACCAATGCCTATACCCGGGTCAAGTGATGCACTATCGGCGAGTCCATGTATCCATCAGTGCCTAGACCCAGCAACACGCGACGTCATCATGGCACCCATGCATTGCTCAATGTACCTCCCCAGGTCACGTGATTCGTTGTCAAGGCATGCATATATTGATCTGAGTCTACCCTCAGCGTTACGTGGCATATCGTCAGAGGATCCGCGTATCGATCAATGTCTATCCTCAGGGATTCCACGTGTCGAGCAATACCTACCCCCAAGTCACGTGATCCATCATCAGGAGATGTAAGCCCACCCCCCAGATCACGCGATCTCCTACCAGGGGATCTGA